GTGCAGCGGTATTTTGCCTGACATGACCCGTTACATTGGCCCACTTTGGTGAGACAATAAGCCGTGTGATTGAGTTATATGACGGCGCCTATTCTGGAGGTCTATGCACATGGCCAGCGAGCCAATATCTGGGATGAATGAGTGACCTGGGTAGAGGTATTCCAGTCTCGTGTGCTTTCCAGAGACATGATAGCAGATGTGACTTCACATAAAATTTGATGGTACAAAACTGTCCTGGAACCCTGCTGATTGGTGGTGGACGACCCACCGAAATGAGTGTGTGGTGCAAATGAGTGTCGAGATGAGTGTCCCCGGTCCCGATCATCACTCCAGTGATGCTTGCGTGTTCTTGACAGAGGCAGCATTGTGCTTGAATGAGCGACCTGATCTTGACAGATCCCTTCGGTTACTCCGACGGCATACCTTTTATCTGGTACAATTTATGCACAACTACCAGTGTGTGTGTTGGAAACTCCTAGAACGAATCATACAATACTACTACCAAGAACGAATGCCCTGCCTATACATACTCATGTGTCAGATTGCATCGTGCGAATGTTGAATAACACTGTGCCCGGTCACCAACCGTAGGGCTTAGAAGATTGGATGCCCTCAAAATGATGGATAAGGTCGTCTTCATTGATTGAACAAGAAAATCTTGGTGTGATTGCTAATTGTCATCATAACGGTTGTGAATGGACAGAGATAGCAGAAAAACGCCATTCTGAGGGGTAAAGGCTCGGGCGAAAGGAAGTAATTGCTATTTAAAAAGGCCTGCTAGAAGAGAGACCTAAAACAAGGAGCAGAGGAATAATCAACTATTTTTTTTAAAAAAGAAAAAAAGAAACGATAGACGGTATCCCCCCTGACTTGTGCCACCGTATTTCTAACATCATGCTATAGCCTGCAGTGTGTATTGGTCAATGCAGAATCATGCATTCAGGCACGGTGCGCAGTTCCACCCCTTGTCTGTTCTTGACGGCTTTGTGCAATCCGGCACTCGACCTTGTTCGTGCCCTTGTACCATCACAATATTATGGATGGGTCCCGGCCGGTGGCTGTGACGGTACAAGGGCACGAGCAAGGTCAAGTGCGACTTGGATAATGCGATTGTTCACAAGGAGAGTAAGAGCTTCCGAAGGAAGCTCTGACTCGAGCTAGCTAAGCCTTAAAGTGGGGCCGTACGTAAAAGGCCCCCTGCCCCCTGCCCCTGAGCTCCGCACAGCTTATGCCCCGGCTTTTGCAGCGATCAGCAAATACTCCCTTTCGGGTATTTTTGACAAGAACGGAAAGGTCACCTGCCATGTACCCCGGTCCATATCCCGACTCTGACTCCACAATGCGTTGTGACAAGTCACAAGTGACAATCCACTACTCAGCTAACTCTCAACACTCATGAAGGATGATGCAATTCACTAAGGGCACCAAATCGACCCAGCACCTTCCGTGCTTACCAGTAGAACTAGCCGTTTCAGGTTTAGGTTTCGACTCCAAGCCAGCGCTGCTAACAGTCCGAACATAGCGCATGACCTGCTTCATGGCCCAGTGAAGTAAATAGTGCAAAATACCGTATACGATATTTTTTCAACCCCACACTGCACTGGATTGTTTAGGAATTCGCTGCACTGCACGGTATACGGTATTGCACTGTATTCGAGCAATATCGTATTGTAATATCATATCGCACGCCGTGCAAAGAGCCGCCTGGCCAAAGCATGAAGCTAACCTGATTAAGGTAATAAGGTGGAGGCTCAAGTTTGGCTCTCAATATTTGACCCGACTAAACTAGCAGTCCGTTTGACTTGGCCAAACTACACTACCAGTCTCCTGAGATAATACAGAGTAAACTATTAGTGCGTCCGTCACTGCCAGACCAGACTGCACTGTAAAATTGTGGTCTGAACTGTTAGTCTACGCACGTGACTTATGGCATTCCGGAGCAGCCTCTGATCATGGTCTGTCACACACACGATTGTATGGGACAGCTTGGGCAAAACGAGAGACTCTTGATTTTCTACCTAAGAGAGCGGAATTATACGAAATTAAATACTTCTAAGCAGCAGTATTACGACTTCCTATTGCCACTTGGCACTGGTAAGTGGCAAGTTGCCACCTAGGCAGTGATGCTTGCGTGTTCTTGACAGAGGAAGCATTGTGCTTGAATGAGCGACCTGATCTTAACATAATCAGAGTCAATTCGGCTTCGAGAAGCGAATATCCTAGTTGCACGTCTCATTAGCGCGGTGCGAGTAAAGCCATGGGTCGGCGGGCAGGTAAACTTACATTTACACCCACTGCCGCATGCAAATCCTGCTCCGCGTAATAGATACGATCGACGAACTCTTTCAATTCCAGGTCCGTGTAGATACGATCGACGTAGTCTTTCAAGTCACGAAGTGCAAGCAGCTGTTTGTCTGTCATGTCTTGCAGCATTCTATAGCTCGGGTTTTCTGTATAGTCGGCTCGGCCGACAAACGAAGCGTTTGCTCCTGGACTAGCAGTAGCTAGCCCAATGATGACATTGATGAGGGCGAATAGGGTTGTTGCGAAGGCCTTCATTGTAGCGCCAGTAAGCAATTTTGAAGACGATAATGAGGATCTAGAGCGTAATGTTTTGGAGTGAAAATGAGTTGCAACCAGTGAAGCTGAAGCAGTCTACTTCCCGTTTTATAGTTCCTCACGGTTCACTCTTGAGTGGTAAACTGAGAGGGATACCTACCTCGCGCCAGGGTGAGACTGGGATTACGTTCCAGAGGGGCATCCAAATTATGCATGTCTTGGCGTGAAATACGAGCATATTGGATACGGGTTTTAAAATGACATTGCCCTGGTATACTCAGCTTGGACCGTTACATTACCCTTCCAATTATGGGAATCCTGGGTCCGTACGCATCCATCGCAGCAGAATGTCCAGAAAGCTCTTCACTCACACGCCAGCAGATTCTGAGTCAAGGGGCTTCGGTCATGCCGTTTGCTTAGTTGTCTTCTGTTTTCAACGAACATTAATCGACTTGCCAAGCTTCTACGAGTCAGAAAGCCCGGGGGTTAGCGTGCGAGTTAACACGGGACTTGACCTTCCCGATCCTCGTGGGCTGTTCAAGTTTTTTTTTTTTTTTTTTTTCTTTTTTTCCCTTCTCATAAGAAGAGGCTATGTCAGGTACCTACGGCGGAAACTTTTTGTAATCTGCTTGCTGCCTGCGGTCTAGGTTTATAATGTCTGTCGTTACTTCTTTAGGCAATTGGCAACAAATGAAGAAAGGCATTTGGTGGAGCCATGCGATGAACTGAAAAGCATTATCTCCCATGCAATTCCCTGCTCTGCTCCCAATCAGTCATCCGTGATTTCTTCAGCATTAATTATCCCTTGAAGCATGCGTCTCTGGGCATCCTGCGTGCTGATCTGCCGTTGACGAGCTAGTGGGATAACAAGCGGAACTTTGTCTTGGTTGTGAGCCCTAGTAAAGTTTTGTTACATTGGCCCTAGAAGAAACGATAAAATTTTCTTAGTGCACAGAAAATTTCGGCTCGGCTTCAACTGTGCTATGCCGCATTGAAACCAATGGGGCATCATCCCACGAATCTTATGCATTTCGGTGCTTGCTGAGCCATATGGCATCTGGCTTATGAGACGAGACGGAGCCAGGCATGCCCATCAGCATTACCCATTTAACTCCGGCATGCATCGTAGGTACCCAAGGCTCCACGATAATCAATACATAACGTCATGCAACCCAGCAACAATCAATAACAGTTCCATTTCATATTATGTGAAACCTAATACTGAGCAGCACCTTGGATTTACCCTTCGACCTCATGTAGGCCATCGCACTGTAAGGGAACGGCCCCACTT